CCCTTGGATCGACCCTCTGACCATAACACAGACGGTGCTGTGCCCTGCCTAAAAGCCTGAGCATACAAGGAGCTCAGAAGGGAGGAGCTCTATAGCTTCGACTAAATGTTGAGTCTCTCAAATTCTAGTTTTAATCTATGTCTGTATTTCTGACCCTGGTCATACACAGCAAAGGACATTTAATCCACATGAAATCAGCCACTGACTAAAAGCAAGCCCAGAGTCGACTTAGAATAAAAAACCTGAAAGATGCAAGTACCCCCAAACCACTGCCCAGACCCTAAAAAAGGCTCAGGAAGTAAATGGAAGCACTTGAACAAGAAAGCTCAGAGCTCTGACTTCCATCTTTGTCTCATCTACTGACTTCAGACAAACAAGTCAGACTGCTTTTCTGCATCTCAGTTCCTCATCAGTAATAACATCTTCAGACCATAATCTCCCTGGGCAGGGGCTCTCTCTTTCACATCTAAATATTGCCTTGCACAGTAGGATGGCCCATTTGGTCAGCACCTCTAAATACATTGTGACAAATGTCTAATCTTTACAAGTAGGGAATTTGGCTTCTGGGGAAGTATCAGTCCCTCCCTCCAGAGGAAACAAATCAGTCTCCACCAGTACCAAGGTTAACTCAGAGCTGCAATGGCTTCAGCAGCCAGGAGTCTGCCTTGTGCCTCTCCCTCACTCTCAAGTTGCACCTCACTGTCCGTTTCATTATGTCAAGAAACTGCTAGTGGGGCCACATGGGAAAGTAGCAAAATTATGGAGTAGACTAAAATAATCTTTTGTCCCACAAAGAGCTCATTTGTGGAACAATGGGGCCAGCAAGTTGCAACCTGAGTTTGGAACATGTAGCCAAGAACAGCATTTTGTAAGCCATCTTTGCTGCTAAAGTTAATGCATAACATCAGCTTCCACCTTTATCCGGCCTTCCATTCAAAGAAAAAGAGCAATCAGAGCTGAGGCAGGGAAAATTTGCTATCTCATCACAATGGGTCTACGAGAACACAGATGCTCAAAATGAACCAAGGAAAAGCCACCCTGTCCAGATGTCAAAGGCAACTAGATTTTATTAGAAAGTTGGATGACAATGTGAGCTGTTCTAATATCAGCTCGAGCAAGGCTGGAAAAGATGGCACATGATTTTTTAAGTATCGTTCAGATTCAAGATTCCTCACAGCACAAGGCACAGAATTAACTGTTACAACAATGGCTCACCAATTATCTACAAAGGTAGCTTCATATATTAACTTCCTAAAGCCTTGGTCACTAGAACCAATTATAATATGAAATTGAATAAAGATCATCTGGTGTTCTTTTCCAAAATATTCATTTATTGACTAAAACAACGATGACAGATGATAGCACTTGTGCCCAGTATCCACTCCTGACTCAGCCGAGAGAGTATGCCAGTGGGAGATGCTGTCAGCAATTTACCTGTAGTCAGGATCAGCTGTAACAGTGCAGTAATTGGATGCTGTACTGCATTAAACCAACTTATATATTAAGGAGGAATACAGTCCTAATCAATGGCAGCATGTGCACCATCTACAAATACATTAAAACTGAATGCTGAAAATAGGGAGTCAAGATTAAGACAATGACTACAGTGATGGAAGATGGCCATTATGAGTGAACAGAGGGAGAAAAAAAAATTATCAGAGAGGAGGATTTTGAGAGAGGGTCGTTGGGTGACATGGACACAGACAGCTCTCTGGTACAAAAGGCAGAATGGAAAAAGGAGCCAGTGACAAGTAAGGAGTAACTCAGCAGGCAGCAAAAAGCACCTCTGACAAAGTCCTGGTGGGCTTCCAAAATGTGAGTTCAGTACAGGAAAGGACCAAGAGGCCCCAACTGTCAGCTAACAGGGATGTGATCAAAGAGTAAGAAAGACTTCACTTATTCCATCTTTGACAGACTGGAAAGTAAAACATCCATCCAGAACCTTATGAGAACAAGGCTGAATGCCAGGGAAGAAAAGACTATCAAGTCAGGGTTTGGAGATCAAAAGGGTTATTTCCAAGTCCCATTTAATTAGCAGCACAGCAAGTGGGTTTTCTTCACCTGAAACGTCTGTCTCAGGGATATTGGTATTGTGCAATATAATTCTCTACCCTCCAGAAGTACATTCAGATTACACCATATAGACACATTTTAAAGTCATGCAGGAGTAATCAAGTGCTTAGAACATGATGTGAAATATTATCAGTAATTCACCAGATTTTGCAGTCAAACTGCTGAGATGAGCCTTTCTGATGACTTCTTTTCCTAGGTTCTACTTGTTTACAGGAAATTAAAATAATAGTTACATTACAGCAACTAGAACTGGTTTAGTTACCCTCAGACTCCAACCAGAAAGCTAATTTATATGGCAAACATATATTGTTTGTGTATGTAATGTTCTTGTATGTCACAGTGCAATTTTCTAAAGTTCTGTTTTTCCATGCATGTACCTAGTACGCGGTTATACAAACACCCAAGCTAATAACAATTTACCACAAAAGTTGTTTACAGCCATGGTATTATAACTCAAAAGTAATATCTTTCCCATATTGCTTTTCTACAACAGATGCACAGGTCATCCCTAGAAATGGGAATATTGTTATCATTGAACTGTCAATAAAAACATGCAGATCTACTTTTGCATTTTCAAACACTGGATTCTTTTGTTTTCACTCTGCTCATATTGCATTTTCCTAGCTGATGCTCTGAGGACACAGCCACACAGACAAACCTATTTTTTAGTGCTATTTCTTCAGTGCTGTTTCCAGATACCATTTTGGCAGAGCAAAGCCAGAACCCAAATGCTAGCATCTCCTTCCTGTACTTTAACCAGCAAAAAAGATTTCCAAGAACTAGGTAGCTTCTTACCTGCAGCAAAACCCAGCGTAAAGTAGACATAACAACTAAAGGTTTCTTAACTTCACTGACAAAAAGCAGTAAGAGTATAATAGGAGAAAGAATATAAAAAGATAATTAAGAACTGTGTTTTCTCCTGTGGAGTTATTCCTGAAGAAGATTGACATAAAACCTATGACAAGCAGGACTGAGAGCTGCCATTAGAGAAGGGCTGTGGCCATATTAAGAGATCAGAATGAAACATGGCAGAATCTCTAAAATTAAGGGAGGCCACACCTCCGTTTGACAGCTGTAACTGGGCTGAGAATAACTCCAATAGGACTGCATCATCTCCCTGAAAGGTAGTAATTTCTTCCCTGTAAAACTCCACTATGGAAGCTAATATTTATTCTGTGTGCTTATCCCCACAAAGTATTTTGGGGAAATGAGTATCCCACTTGACAGAGAAGGAATTCTAGGGAGAGATGCTTTAGTCAAGGTCACACAATGACTCACCGCTGAGGCTGCCCCTGCAGTTCAGTGGCTCACATACATCCATTGTCTTTTATTAAAGGCAGAAGCCTTCTGGATTTTCTGTAGTTGCCAAATCAGCCAGGTCATCTGCTTGGAGGAAAGCATCAAGGAGCAGGGAAGAGCAACTGCCCTCTTGCAACAGAGTAATCGGGATATTCCAGGTCCAAACAAAAATGGAATATCTGAATTGCTCAGGGGAGAGGAAAGTGGGGTGGCTGTGGGTGTCCCTCTGTGCACCCCACTTCAGCTGCACCACCAGCAGAGCTTGCCCACAGCCACACCTTGGACAAGGAAGCAGGACTGGCCATGTAGCAATTTCATCCTGAAGGCCCTCCTGACACTCCCCAAGAAAGGCAGCACCCCACTGCTGTGAGGGAGCTCCCCAGGCACAGACAAGGCTGGCAGCTGAGCTCCGTGGGATCAAGCTTGCCCCCAGGCCACCTCCTCCAGACAGGACTGATTTGAGTCATCCTTCATCCCACAGTCCAAGTGACACTCAGAGGAACAGGCACACTGACACCCTCTGCCCTGAGCATCTCCTGCACACTCAGACCTGCCACGCAGGCAATGCCACTCCGTGTTCCCGCCACAGCAACCTACCCCAGCACACACAATCCCTGCAGAAACACTCCACAAATACACCCTTTACACACCCCCGCCATCCGAACATCTCAATACACCTCCCTTCCAGACAGATGCTGCGTGGACCATATTCAGATGCAGCATGTGAACCCTGAACACCCCCTCCACACACATCGCTGTGCAGGAACACCCCCCCCAGCACTCACACACACAGCCCAACACACCTCCACACACTCCCTGAGCACAAACTCCAATGCACACCCTCTGCATGAACCCCCTCACACCTTACACACACACATACGTATAAAAACCCCAAATTTCACCAAATGCAACCTGCCCAAACCACCCTTCTCCATACACACACCTTGTTCATTAACTCCCCTCCTCTAAATACACAACGTGAACTCCCAACATAGCCATCCATACACTCGCCAAATGCTGCAAAAATCCCTAACACCCCACCTTCCACACATCCACCATACACACACTGCATCCACCTCCAACACCCCACTCAAGTCCCTGCACAGCCCTGACCACACCCCTATACACACATATTGTGCACGAACCCCTCAAAACACCCCCATACAGAATGCATAAATCCCTCCCCACCCTCATTGCACATATACTACACGAAGCCTCCAGCACCTCTTGCTTTTCCATTCATACCCACCCACCCCAGTGGGAAACCCACATGACTCCTCAGCCACCCCTCTGCACCCATCTGGGACCCCCCCATTCCCCAGCCGACAGACATGGGGACGCTCTCAAACAGCCCCCCCCGAGCGATGGACACAGCCATGTCTAGCCAAGAGTAAGACACACCCCTCTAGTTCCACATCTGCACCCGAGCGAGCGTGCTGGGGGACACCCTGGGGGTGTTAGCCCCGGCACTGCCACCCTCTCTGGAGGGGAAGGTGAAGGGGCAGATTCAGGAGAGGGGCAGAAGCATCCCTATGCACGCAAGGAAACATAACCTAAGAGCAGACCCAAGTGGTGCATCCCCCTTCCCACCCCGCCTCCTCACTGCACCAGACAGCAATGCTAATTACCTTCCTCCAGCTCATCCATGCTCCCAATCTTCCGTGATCCATCGATGGTGTAAATGTAACGGACTCCCTGAGGCAGATTAATGTTGTCGGACAGGGACCGGGTCAGGTCAGCCAGGAGAGCATCAAAACTTCGGAAGCGGTCAGAGGACACGGCATATACAATCCCCTTGAAGTAGCGGTCCCCGTTGCGATAGAAACGTACCTTCTTAGCTTTCTTCTCGTTACTCAGTGCCTGTAAGGTCCTGGTTCTGTAGAAGCTACAGTGAGCACTGTGAGTGGGGCTGGGCAGCCCGTTCATACGTGAGCCTCGCATGTTTCTGGACGCCTTGTCTCTTTCGTCAAAGTGTCCAAAATCAAGTTCCATAGTTTGGTGAACCCTAAAGATCTGAAGCTGAGCAGGAAGGAGATGGGGAGAGAAGGAGTGCAAAGGGACGGTTTAGAGCCAAGCAGAGCCACAATCCAGAGAGAAAAACGACACTAATGCAAGAGCTGCGTCTAGAGCAGGACAGATGCATTTGGGAAGCGCCCCCTCCTCTGACCCAGATTTGTATTGATTCTGGGGACTGAGGGTAGGAGGGGTCCTCGTATTTTGAAAGGAATCCAACTGCTGGGGGCAGGGAACACGTTTCTAGAGAGCTGTCTGCTCCTGCACCTGGGAGTTTTCAAAGTGCAGTAAATTGGGACTTGGGGCCAAAGGGATACATGGCAAGAACAGCTCAGCCCCCAAAAACTCGTCCAAACACCAGTTGGCAATGAATTAAACCTCTGAGTCCTGTGAGGTTTCCTTTGGCAACAGAAAACAAGGAGATCCCAGTAAGTCAGCCCTTCAATCTGTCGAATCACGGAAGGAACCAGAGCATCTGAATGTTTAACATTAGAATAAACTGGCATTTATGAAAGAATGGTCACAGGGGAATAAGCAGTTTCTTTGTGACAGCCTGTTCAATAAGGGTTAGCAATGAGATCCAGCCCACCCTTCCCCCTCTCCGCAGCCCCCTCCTAGCCCATCAATCAATTCCCAGGACCAGCCTACATCTCTAAGAAATGACTGGAAAGAAAAATCTGTCATTGAAATGAGGCTTCGATAAGCTCTTTTCAGCCTGAGTCTCCTCTGAATTGCATTTCTGCTCCCATTTAATGAGGAGGAGAAAATAAAGGGGCTATTTCCACCCCCCTTCTAGCTTTAAGTGATTTAATTGCTGGAAGTGCCCCTGTCCAAGGGACACGCAGCCCCTGCTAGCTCACCTTTCATTGTTCTGAGCACAGGGGGCTCCCAGCGCAAGCGACTAGCACAGAAAAGCTGAGACTTGCGCTGACACCCAGCAAGCAGGAATTTCTGCACAGTCTTTAGATTATGCTCAAAAATAACCTTCCTCCCCTACCAAATCCCAGCACAAAAGGAGAAGGAACCCCCCAACCCTGCAACAGAAAGACCCTTCCACTCCCCCAGCACATCCAGGAACATGCAGCTCACGTATGTCACTTGCATGTTAACACAGGGCAGAAAGGGGATTTACACCAGCACTTGGCAGCCAGGTATAAATCTAGGAAAAGCTGTTGCGATCTCTTCCCCACCCCTTACATTTGCCAGAACGAAGCTCCTTCCCTGTATTTTACAATGTCAATGCGACCTGTGCAAGAAAAATCATTGTCTCCAGTCTGCAATAAAGCAGAAGATGACAATGCAGGCGATCTGCACAGAAACCCCAAGTTGGGAACATTTTCCCCACGATGCCAGTTGGGGTAGATTCAGTCTGGTGTCATACAGTGAACAATGAAACACCCAAGCAACTTCGGGAATGAATCAGAGGATGCAGGGGGTTTTGATTTTAAAATGAACTGCAGATGCTGTAAGGTACTAAGAGAAAGATTCCTCCTTTCGGTCTGACATCTGTTACTTTTCTGCATGCAAGTCACTCAAAAAAGCTCTACTCACCGGTTTTCAGCGTGCAGGGTGGAGATGCTGAGAGAAAGAAAACCAGGCTCACTCTGCCTTTGTTGTCTGAGCTCCAAGCAAGAAATTCCTGCCAGGGTGGATGCGACGCCTCCTAGGTCCTAGTGCCTTATTCCATCCCTTCACGATAACTTTGCCTCAATGGTTTTTACTCTCATCATCAGTTTTCTGCTTGTAGCCTTCTCTGTATTTGAGAAAAAATGGGTGTGTTCATTCCAGCTCTGGATATGTTAATAGATGGGTAAACAAAAAGTTTAAAGGGGCAAATTTGGGGTGATGTTCTGTAGGATGCAAATTTCCCCTTGGCTCTAGCTTCACCAAGAAAGCATCTGGCCCTGCTAAAAAAAAAAAAAAAAAAAAAAAAAAAAATCATAATTGGACCAATGCAGCAATATTATAGGATTACTAGTACAGGGAGGTCACGACTACAGTTTTACAGCTTGCTACAATGCTGGCACAAGACTCCTGTGCGTTAGGAAAGCAACTGAGAAAAAAGTTGACCAGTGGAACTGGGCACAGCCCTGCTCCTATACTGGTTTTACACAGCATTCATGGTTTACACTGGAAAGCAGAAAGGGAGAATTCACTTGGTGGTTTTGCATGCAGTGCCCCAGAATAATTTTTCGCCGTTAACATTGGACACAAGCCAAAGCCAGAGCTCTGAATCCCAGTTCATTCAAATCCCCAAGGGGTTCAGGACAGAGTCATTTGACATAAGCTTAACCCAACAGATTCAACCTGGCTCATAGCCCCAAACTAAGAGAAGTTTATTTTCTGATTCCACTGCAGGAGGACTCAGCTGTTACAAAATTGTACTGGGCTCTTTTACTTTGACAGCAAAATCTTTCACCTGCTTTCTGGATGGAGAGTTCTATCCTGCAGTTAGAAGAACAGCACCACTAACCCCACTCCTAGCCCCAGTGGTGCTGGTCCCATCTTTATTTTAGAAAAGAAAGAGATTTGGAAATGGGAGGGTCTTCCCATCTGTAGAAGGAAATCTTTCCTAACAACACTGTGTCTGTTTTGAATGAACATATCAGATTTTGTCATTTTGGCACATCACAGCAGTATCACATTTACACAGAAAAAATTAGTATATATTCCAGCTTTGTCTGCCCTGTATGTGATAGTCCAGGCAACACTGACAAATGCACTGAAAGCTCATCTTTGTTTGCCAGCAACTTTCACACATGACATTTGTAAAGTGTCTTACTCCCTGAAACCATCCTTTTATTCAAAGGCTCCTGTACATCTTCCACTGTTGGCTGATCCCTTATGTGCTTGGTGGGATCACTACAGAGGAGACCACACATCTGCTCTCTTTCCTCAGGAATTAACACTTGAGAGGACCACAGGAAAGAGCAGGGTCTGTGCTCTCCAGGGCATATTTCAGTAGATCTCCGGATGCAGATGCAAGAGGTATGTGGGACTTTAAGTTTTCTCCTTCCCATTAGGTTTCATTCCAAATTAGATAATACCTGGCCATTCATCACCATGTACTTAATCTGTCCAGGATTAACAATCCTTCCCTGTACCACAATACTGCTCTAAGTAGAAATTTATTCATACTTTAAAAATGTGCCAAAGATACAAATCATTATGCATGTCCTAAGTACAGTAACAGCAGGAATAGAGAAAAGGAAACGAATTCAGTCTTCAGGGCTGTACAGAGCTTTGATAAAGAAGAGGCAGACTGCAATGATGTCTAAGGATCTGGATACCACCCCAGGGTAACCTGGCAGGATGGTGTTAACCTACATAGTGCAATCATACAAGAACTTACTCATCCTTCAGGTTTTACTTGTATGGATAGTTTTGAGGACAGCAAAAGGTCTCAAACAGCATTAACAGATGGCGCTTGACTTCTTTCCACATCTGAGACCATACATGCTGGTGAGAAGATGGAGCCTGTCTGTATGGACATGTCTGCTCAGGACACTGCCAGAAGCTTTTTTGGAGCATGGGCACTTCCTTTTAAATGCAGAATTACTCCAGCAAGAGACCTGGTATTTGTTTCTGACTGAAGAATAAGGCTTCTATAGCCAATGATGTTAATGTTCATCTTGGATGAAATCTCAAGATATTCCTAAAAGGTGCTCAAATCACCTTCAGTACAGTTGTCCTCCTCTAACCCTGCCACAAGACAAGAAGGATCTCAGCAGCCAAAGCATCATCAGAGGTGAAGAGCCCTGGAGCCAGATTGATTTCACATATTCTCAGTGAAGTCGCACCATATTTGCTTCTCTTCAGATAAGAGGTTCACCTCCTATTACAGGCATCAGATGGGCTACGCAATAAGGTATAGAAATAAACAGCTCACTCTTGATGAATGCAAGGGCCTGCTTCTGATTCATTTCTATTGGTCAGGCACAAGAGCTTCTTCACTGGCCTTAAGGAGTTAATGCTAGTCAAAACCTATTTACATCAGAAGAGACTCACCCCCTGAGACACCATAATCTAAACCATTTTAGGCAGCATGAGTGATTGAGAATTGGACAGAAAATTCTTATTCCCATCAATAATTTCATCTAGCTAAAAAGGAAAGATAAATTTAGCTCTTCAGATTAAATTATCTGCTTTAAATCAGGTGAATCATCTTTCCTCCAGGAAACTAACATTTAGACTTTTGCATGTGTATCTAAATCTGTATAAAGACATATTTGTTGACATTGGTGAGCAACTGTGATACTTTGGAAAGGGACAGACTGCAGGTAAAAGGGATTTCATGACTGCCTTGTGCTAACTTTCTCACATACACCTAGAAAATCTGGCTCCCAGCATCATTAGGAGTTTCAGTCTTAAGTTCTCTCTATGTCAATGCCCAGTTGCTTTGCCATATATCCTCCTGACTTCATAAAAATTTGCATCTGATAGCACAGCATGTTCTTCAATCAGGATGTAAGTTAGGGTGATCACTGTTTTGAAGGAAGTCTTGGATCAACATTTTCAAGTCAGTCTAATTAGATGCACATATTTAATTACATTTCTTATTTTAACCTCTGTTCTTCTGGACTGCTTTGAAAATGTCATCTCTGATCACTGCTTCCAAAGCTTTTCTTGATGTGAACTTACACACCAAAACCCTCTGAAATGACAAATTACTATTTCAGGGCTCTACCATATGTATCGAGGCATTCAAAACTGAAAGCTCATAAAGCCAATGGCTCAGTCTTGACCCTATAGAGCAACAGGCTTTAAACCTGAATCTTCAAAGAGCTGACAGTTCATCAAAGAATTATTCTATATCAGACTATAGAGTTAAGTCTCTCCTACATAATACTATGAGCTAATAAGCAATGGGGACTTGGCAGACTTTCACCACATAACATTTGTTTCCTTTGGAGATTTATTTTTACAGGGACCACACACATCTGAAAGTCTTTTAAATACCAATGCTAGCAAGCCAGTCAGCTCAGCCACTGGGGAGAGAAGGGTGGAGGAATACCTCCATAGCATAGTTTCACCACTCCACGTCTTGTAACCATCTGCAGAGGCTTGTTCAGACCTTGAAATCAGAGGGCTGGACCCTTCTACAGCCTGAATCACTGGAAACCCCAGGGAGTAGCAGGGATAAAGTTTTGAGTCTGGGGAAGGAGGAGAGGGTGGAAGCAGAAGCTGGGCTCCAAGGCCAGTGCCAGCTGCCTGCCAACGTGGGGCTCCTCACCTGTGCTCCACAGCACCGACATCTGATATCTCTTGGGTGAGACCTGTCACTCCTCCCAACCCCAGAGGCTGTGCTGAGTCAGTGAATTCGTGCTGCAGTCCCACACCCTTGGCAGACACCCTCAACCTTCAGCAGATGACTTTGGCTTCAGATAAGCTCCTGCTGAAATTTGGGAGAAAGAGGCCTTTACATCCTCTGAGGGATACACAGGAAGCAGGTTGCAAGTGAAAAGGCTGTTTCCTGTACTAATAAATCCTTTATAAGTATCTGGAAACAATGCAGCTTGTAATGAGTTAGTCGATGAACTCACTCAAGACACTTCCACCACATTCAGATACAAGAAAGCATTAAAATGCAAAACAGTCATCCAAAAGAAAAATACCTTTTGCACTAGATTTCTTCTGGCTTCATTCCCTCCCTACTACAAGCAAATCACCACAATCAATAAATCTTTCCCTGCTGAAAACAAATTCCCTGATAGCAGAAAATTAAGCACCCCCACCCAGTACACACCCCATGATATCTTGGGTAAATCCTGCCAAACTCAGTTCCACAAGCCAAATTCTGGTGGCAGGTCAGTGGCATTGTTTTCCCTTAACAGCAATTTGCAAAGCTTGCAGCCAGCCATGGAAACGTCTGCCGCGTGCATTGCCTGTACCCTGGGGGGACATGCAGAACCTCACAGAGGTTGTCAGTACATTTTTGCTGACCAAATTATGTATGATATATGGTTTGCAAGTCCCAGCCAAGGTTATGACAAATGGAACCACAAGAAATCCAGATGTCTCCTTTCTCTGAGGTTGTCCATAGGCTGCATCATAGTCGTTAGGAGGTTCATGACCAAGAATTTAATAACTTCTTGATATTTCCATTTCATGCAGTAATTCCAACTGAATACATGATTTCCAGCCTCTCTCAAAATGCCTGGTGAATATAACATTGGTTTGAAGGACTTTCCTGATGGAATATTAAATAATGGAAAGGAAAATCCCATCAAAGCTATCATGGGGGATCATGTCACATTCAAGTTGGAAATGCAAGATATTTCCTTTCAAACATAAATCCTCTCTGCCACTCTGGAGACAGTGACAGTGAGATCAGGTCACATTGGGTATCTTTTACAAATGCTCCTCCAAACAGCCCATCTTATAAACTTAGAATTCATAAGAATAGACCATTTCAGAAGTTGTTTTCCACAAGAGACTTTCACTCAGTACACTCAATGTCATCCCAGGACAAGCCCAACAGAGGTTGCAGGATTAACTAAGTGTCCTAGTCAATAAAACTAGCATTTTAAATAGAAGACCAAAAAATGCCTTCAGTGGCCTTAAGAAACATTAAGATCTTTTGAGCTCTGACATTCACCATGACATAGTACAGACTAGAGGTCACAAGAGGGGAAATTACACCAACCTGGAGTTCTCATAGCCTGTCTTGGTTTTATTTTCAATTTTAACATTACAAGCATTTGTCAGGTCCATGCATACT